GCCTTGTCAGACACTACAAAAGTCCTGCTCACTGGCTGGCATGTCAGAAATGTCAGCATGGCTGCCATCTGCCAGTTGGCTCTGATAGTAGATAAATTTGATCAAAACCATCCTTCCGCACTATTTTCTTTATTGTTGCACCTTGGTGGACAACGAGGGTCAGAGTACTCCCTAAACACCACAGAGGAATTGTGGCTGCTACTCTAGCAGACAACAGGTCAGCAACTCACTCCGGACAAAACAGAAACCTCTCCCACAGGAATTCTTACCTCCCACAGTAACTCCTACCTCAAACCACTCTTAGCAGTTTTAACTGAATTTCATTAGTGAATGAGCCAATTAATCCATTGTTCATCCTCCAGCTATGCTGGTAAGTCACATGCTTGTACTGAAAGAAGTGCTAAGGACTACTTTCAGTCTGTGTTGAGCTGATTGCACTCCTGAGATGCACCTACTGAGTTGTACGGCACTTTTCTGTCTGGGACTGGACAGTCCAGCAAGATCAGCAAGATCCAGATGCAGCCCAGACTTCAAAACACATCTGTTATTCTGCCATGCAATGCCAGTAGTGCAAAACAGTAATCATCTGCCTGATCCTTCTCCTGCCCACTTCCACTGTCCAAAGGAGCAGAAGTGTTCCAGGGTCAGGTATCAGACAAATTTCCACCTCATCCATTTGTACAGCACAGCAGATCTTTCTCCCACAGCATCTCCAAAAGGTGTTTCTTCCTTTAAACCTACCCCTCTCCTACAGTGGCAAAGACATCTGGGAAACATGCTGCAGATTTCCCAATTCCACCGTGTCTCAAGAGTGTCCTGTGATATTCACATTCTCTGGACAGAAAGACATAATTCTGTCTCTCAGGAGAAGCACAGAGAGAAGAAGAGAAAACAATCTTTATCTCTGCTCCTTTGTTTTCCCTATGTGGAATGTGGTATGGAGATTGTTTACCTGAAGTGATTGCTTGATTGGATTCTGATGAAGGTTGTTTGAGTTCAATGACCAATTGTGTCTTGGACTCTCAGCAAAGGGTCCTGGGTTTTGTTAGTTAGATAGGTAAGTAAGAAGTAAGTATGTAGAATAGTACAGTATCTCTTTAAATAGTATATTAATGTAATATAATATAGTTTTAATACAGCAGATCCTTCAGCCTTCTGATCTGGAGCCAGACATCATAATTTCTTCCCTGAGTCAGGGCACCGCATTTTTTGCTATAGTGTCCATCTTCCACATCACAGCTACAAGGACAGATTTAACTGAAGCACAGGCACTCACCCTTACAACTCTTCCACTGCCCCAGGTCCCCACTGCTGCTTTCTTTCTTATAAAAGTAAAGAAAACCTGGGCTGAACAAGTGAACTTTGCTCCTTTTGTATTCAGATCTGGCACCAGCCACAGATAAGAAACAATGGTGAATGCCAAATATTTTATGTCACCGACTTCTGCCTCAGCTTTTCTTTATGAAGCCTCATTACTGCCGCCAGGAACAACCTGTGGGTCTGAGCAACATCCTTTCTTGCACCTCCCACACATCTCATTTCCACCTCTCTTAAGAGGCCATACCACACCCCACATCCTCCACACTCCCTCTCTGGGATGCACTCACCTCTGCAGGCAGGAGAGGCGGTTCAATGGCAGCCTACAGGGATGCAGGCAATGCAACGTCCATCAGAGCTGCACAGTGTGTATTTGCTTGGCTGCACCCTGCCAACAGTGCCAGCAGATCAGCTCCCAAATGAATTTAAACAGCTGCCAAGGACACTCCCTCAACTCTTGCAGAACAGAATTATTGATGTCCTTCTTTATCCCACTAAACCAGTATCCTGCCTTCAATAATGTCAACCTACTACTGGCATCAGAAGCATGCGAGAAATAAACACACAAACACACACACATATGTAACTCCATGAAAAGCTCAGCTGGCATGTCATGGCATCAGTTCCTGCTTGCATCCTTCTAAGGAGCTGGACACACTTTCAGTCCCTTGTTGATCTTATTGCACTCTGGCCATACAGAGCTGCATAGCAGCTTGGATTGGGGTCATAACCACCTGACCAGCACAAGAAACTCAGGCTAGAAACATGGACCAAGCTGGTCACACCCAAATGCCCAGACCCCAAAACATACTTCTTACTCAGCCATTACATTCCAGGAGTAGAAAATAGTCATCACCCTCCTGCTCGTTTTGCCAAGAGTTTTATTACTGCCAGCAGCCAGGACACAGGACTTAGTAGGACTCCCTGAATCCATTCCTCAGGATCCCAGGCTGTTGAGATCACAACCAGAGGAGCCTGGCAGGCAGGACAGAAAGGAGCACTGAAGAAAGATGCCCATCAGCAGTGCTGCTACTACAGGGCAGCTCCCTGCCAAGAGGGCCTAGCAGGCAACAGCTTCTGTGCTGTGGGGAGGGATGGAATGAGGCACTCTCCACAGAACTGACAGAACACCTCATCTCCATTCCACACACCTGCCATGCCTCATTTCTCCTTCCACACCCTGGCTTCAGACACAGGGTAGAAGGGAAAAGCACACTTCTCACAGACTAGGAAGATGGTCACCATCCTGGGGAAAAGCACTGTCAAAATGCATGTACAAAAAAGGATGAGAAAATTGGATGGTTTTACAGTGACGCTGTCCATTTCATTTCAGCTTTGCTGTGGCAAAAGAAAAACCACATTCAGGGTCTGAAAGGCAGGATGAGTGAGTGAGATAGGAGACTTGGTCTATATCCTTAGGATCTTGAAAGTTTTTAAAACAACAAGGTCTATATCTTTAGGATCTTGAAGGTTTTTACACAACAAGGGAGGCTACGGCCTCTGTTCCTCCAAGCCAGAGAAGCTGAGATGAGCTGTCACTTCTAGGAGCACCCCTCCCTCAGGCTTTCCATGACCTCAGCTGTCAGCGCACATGCCCAGGGAGAGCTGGAGATAACCCAGTGTTGAGCTCAAGAGCAGGATACATTAGAGTTGAGGGGTAGAACATCCTCTCACAAGGCTTAAGGAACAAGGCTGATGAAGCCACTGGGGATAGTAATGGTAAACTGGGACGTGAAAATTCACAGCTACCCTTTTTGTTTTTCAGAGGCTGTCAAGTGTTTTTCTTTCTAAGCTTCTGCCTTACAAGTCACAAGAAGAACAGAGGGACAGTATAATTGCTTTATAAATGACTAAATTACCTGGAAATGCCAGACAGGATAGTCTGCCACAAGAGGGAATACACGGTGGTAAGAGATGTTACACAAACAAGCACATGTAAATACACATTTTCCTTCCATCCACAACCAACAGTTCAATGTGTTCCTGAGTGAAGAAGCCAAACTATGCAGAAGGAACAAGTGAATTTGCCTGTGGGATAACCTGGCTAGAAGAGACACAGCTCTCTAATCAACCCCCTCAGGGCTGTCTCAAGAGCAAGGGAGTTGTTGCCTTCTTTGCATGTGTGATGGAACAGTTCAAGTCATGATACAACTTTTATTTGCTGGGAATGATAGGCCTGCTGGAAAGTTCCTAAGGTGAAAGAGAGCCCTTCACAGCTACTCCCACTGAACATTTTTGCTTGACAAAAACCAGCAGCTTTCTTCCACCCCCTTACTGAAGAATGCATCACACCCAAAGAGAGAAATTTTCGGACACTGCACTGCAAGTAGCAAATAAAACCCCTTTAACAGACCTGCTCTGAGTTAGGAGAAATAAAACTGGTTAAACTCTCACAAAATGTACAAGAGGGATTAACCACCTCAGACTTCAGAGTAAAATGAAGTGTCACACTTGGTACATTATTTCAAGCACTCAGAAAATATGTTTTCTTATTGATCCCTGAAGCCAGCATGCAGCAGGGAGTGCCAGGACTTTTACCAGGCAACTGGGGGAGTCATTGTCCTCCTCTGCAGAAGCCACAGGACAATGAACACAAGCAACAGCTTGGAATGAAACACACTTTTTGCAGAAATACAGCATATGACCAGAAGTAAATACAGGCCAGGAACTCAAAGACATCATCAGCAAACTATAGAGCAAGGATGTGATCTGAGGTGAATTACATGGAGGAGTTCAAAAGCGGCCACCTCCTCCAGCTCGAAGCTCAAGCTTCCAGCAAGGGCATGGGACACAGAAGGGCTGGCACACAGAGCAGCTGTAGCCAGCCCACCTGTGAAAGCCAGTGCTGTGCCTTTGACAGGGACCTGTCACCAGATGCATCATATAAAGTGTAAGTGATGCTACCCCAGCTTCCAATAATCCACAGACTGGGAACTGCCTGTCCTGGGCACACAAAATGCTTCAGAGAATATAAACGCACTGAAACTTTTGCACTGAGTTTTCTAGTTCAGATGAGCAGAGCCACAGCTCAGCCAAGACAGGCACTCTGCTCCCTTCACCACAGACAGTCCTTTGGCAGCAATGACAGTCAGCCAGGAGGACTGGGACAGACCTTTGTCTTACTGGTGGGATGCTAAGAGACTCTTCAGCCTCCACAATACCAGCTGGTAAGACCACTCATCACACCAAAAGCTTCCCTTTGGCATTGGACATAAATGTCGCAAAGGAAATGTGTTTTCTGAGAAAGGGACGTCTTTCAAAACTGTCTGAACAACCAGCCTCTGATGGGTGATGTTATTTCAGTCAACCCTTTTTCATGAACCCTCAGAGAAAGCCAGGAAGTGCGGTAGGAGGACAAAGGAAGTGAGCAGTGCAGAATTTAAGGGATGCTACAGAGTAGCCCGAAATAAAGATATGTCACTGCTAAAATGCAACAGGATACTGCAACAAGTTGATTACAAAAGCCCTCAGGAAAAGTCAGACTTTAAAAATAATTACCGCAGTTCACGTTCTTCATGAGAGGACAAGAAGAAGAAGCTACTGGCAAAGATTCCTCATGGCAAGCAACACCACGGTGCAGAAATAACCCACTGCCATCAGCTCCCCATCTGATGCAGCTTCCAGAAAAAGAAGGGAACAGAACATCGCCTGGACTGCGTGGTAAACAAGTCTCCCTCCTCCGCCTACAAGGGTCCTACAAGCCCAGCATAAAGGCCAACTCTTAATTGTACAACAGGGAAATTTGACTGAACAAAAGGCGGAAAGGGGTAAAAATCGTTTCACCAGATTTATGGCAACATTCAGAACACCTTTACTAATTCCGCAGGCTGCGCAAAGTTTAGGACACCAGCCGCAACAGGTTAAAATACTTTTCTAAGGAAAAAAAAAACCAAAAAAAAACCAACAAAGCATACAAGGGCCAAGCCCCTGCAAAGCTGTGCAATGCCACAGGGCGCTGGAGGGGAAGCAAAGCAGCGCTGCGGTAGAGCCGGGCTCGGTGGCCGCGGCCAGGTCCGCACGGGCGCCGCAGGGACGGCCGGAGCGCCGGGCCCGCTGCCGCACACGGGGCCCGGGCTCTGCCCGGCTCTCCCGGGCTGCCGCCCCGGCCCCTTCCCCGGCCCGCTCCCGGGGCCGCCGCGCCCCCGCCTCCCCATCCCACCGCTGCCGCCATGTCGGGCGCTCCGCCTCACCCTCGGCCGCCGCTCCGCGCCGCCGCACGCCCCGACCTGCCGCGCTGCCGGGAGGGACCGGAGGCACCCGGGAGGGCGGGAGGGAGGCGCGGCCGGCCCGGCCCACCCCGGCCCGGGCCGCCTCCCCCGGCTCCCGGCCGCGCTGGGCCCGCTCGGCCTCCGGCCGGGGCTGCCTGTCCGGGCTCTCCGCAGCCCCCGCTCTCGGCTCCTGCGCCTCACGGTGCCTTTCCATTACAGCGAACTCCAGATGGAGCGGCTTTTTTGGTATTTTTTTTGGTTTTTTTTGGTTTTTTTTGTTTTTTTAGGAGTCAGAGCTGCTTGTTAAAAGTGTTCTCCACGAAACCCTGTAAATCAAGATCAAGCCCTGACTGGCACATTGCCTCATCCTCCCATTACCTCACTTGAGCCACAGCCCGCATATTTCTGTGCTAAGCCGCAGCCCTGTGCGAGGGATGCTCCCAGGAAAACACCCCACACCACGGCCTCTCATGGTTTTTCAGGCGTGGGATGAAGAGAGGAGATCCGGGCAGGGAAGGAAGAGGCCAGTTTAGAACCTCCTGGGTGCTTGCTTTAACTTCATGTGCCCAACTCAGAAATCATTTCATCCTTCCCAAGGAGTAAACTCACTTTAGCTCAGAGCAGCTGGAGAACCAAGTGGGGGGTCAGCTTGCTTGCACACTGACAGATTTGTTGCAAGGAATATGTCCCAGGATCTGGAAGCCACAGGAGACACCGGCCCCTGCCCAGGTCCTGGCCCTCTTTGGTGGAGCCCTGGGTAGCCACCACGCTGGGCAAATGCCTTCTTGCCATGTCCAGGGATTTCATGCCCAAACAGGAAACCACACAACCCCCCCAACCTAGCAGATTTGGGTCAGCAAATGGGCATGACCAGGCACAAGTGCTTCTTTGTGCTTGCGAGTGCCTGCAGGCAAAGGCGAGATATGCCATAGGACGCCCATCTCCCCGTCTTCAGTTTATTGCTGGAGTAATAGGTTTATTTTTTTTTTACTGCAAATACTTGTTTACCTTGAGGAGACTAATTTTACCTGGTCAGGTCTCCAGTGGACTAGTATTTTCAGAAGTAGCACACAGCTACACTTGTGTCTGCAGCATCGTATCTATATGTATATAAACATGCCCTGCAGGCTGGATAGGCTGGAGCTGGGTTATTGTAGCCACACCAACCAAAATTTCCTTGTGACTCATCAACAGCCAGTTCAGTAATGAGCACCTCCCAACAAAGCTCTGAACTGCAGGGCCCCAGGTCTATTGGCACTGAATGGGAGATTGCCAAACAGAGCATTTGAAGGTGTATAATGGGCTGTGAGATACATTTTTCATTGGAGATTAAGTACTTGGTCAATATATGTTACATACAGCTAAAGATATTACAAAAGAAAGGCCTTATGAAATCAAGCCTTGCTCTGCTGAATTACCAGCTGGACTGTTACTTCTTCTAAGTGCAGCTAAGTTCCCAGTTGAAGGAGAATGAGAATCCGTTTGCATACCAACCTATCCTTAGAAAACTAAGTTGCACGTGTAAAAAACAAGAAATCTGTCCCACAGGAGTCAGTGAACAAAATATGTAAACTAACCAAATTTGACAGACATACACCCTAGCCATTTACCGACCAATAAACTGTGTCAGTGTATTGTTAGCCAATTAGGTCTAACAGTGCCTTCTGATATCGCCTATAAATATGAGCTTTGTGAATAAAGAACTGACTTTTCTGCATTAAGAAACCAAGTCCTGTCTACTTACTGATGCAACAAATATATATATTTGTTGTCTAGGCAACCAACAAGTAAAAAGATCATGAAAAGTCACAAACAGAAGGTGGTGACAGGACAAAATAATATGTGAGTTACCCATAGCAGTAACTCATTAATTGTATGTAAACGGAAAAGGTCCCTTGGACCTGGAATAAAGAAGGTACTAGAAAACAACATCTCAAATGTTTGAAATTTCTGCATTTATCCTGTGGAAAAGCTTCAAACTTAACACCGTGGTTTAATGCTCTCTTTCAGCCCTGTTTTGGCTTTTCAAAGAGATGCTGTCAGCCTAATCCTCTTATGCTTACCCTTAGCATATTGACATGAAACAGATAAGCGAAAGCAAAGCAGACTGAGGTCCCTTTGCCGGCCTGCAGGGATTTGTGGGGCCATGGCTACTTATCAGAGCAGCTGGCTTTTATGCTTTTGCCTCTACACCTGATTGTGTACACAGGTGCACTGTTGCATGTGCCAGGATAAGGCTTCCCAGGCTGCAAAAAGAGTCTTTCCTTGTGATATGATTCCAAAATACTTTACAGATTATGTGCAAAAAGTCACTTGTTCATTAAGAGGCTGGAGCCAATATGGTGAATGTATAAGCCCCCAGGCAGTCTTATTTTGCATCCCCCCTCATCTCATGCCCCTCATGGTATCTCATTATTTGCATTTATGCTACAGTTTCCAGCAGTCACTTACAAAGGGTGGCTGCTCCCAGAGCTTCCATTTAGAGGCAGGAGATATTCTGACAAAAAAGGGGAATGTATTAAAATGAAGAACTTTTTGGAAATTCTGGTCTCCTTTAGGTCTGATATCAGACAGGTTTAAAAACTAGCAACATATCCCTTTAGACTGTAAGTGGCTGGGTCTTCCAAAAGAAAAATGTAATCTTTGTGCTGAGAGACAACAAAAGATCTTCCAGGAATAAACCCCACCCTGCTGCTTACCGTTGTCCAAGCTCAGTCTGCTCAAATTCTGTGCCATTTTGTCATCCTTGAAACAAAAATCCACCCTTTCCTGCTTACAAAAAGTATATGTTACAATGAACTACTTGTGTTATCAGGTTATAGCAGGGGAAATGAGTAACAATTTGTTTGGTCAAAACTGCAAAGTGGTTAGTTCTGTAATGCATGAACATCCAGCTGGAGCCATACCAGGGCACATTAAAAGCAACCAAATTCCTAACTCTAGTGAAAAGGACGCATGAGACATTAATAAAATAAAGTTTTAATTCCATTAATACAGGTGACAAGGTGAGAGTGGTTTCAGTCTCTCTCTGAAACCACTATACCCCCAGACATTGAGGAAGTGTCTCCCCTTTTTCTCCTCTGTGCTCTGCCCTCTGTAATTAACTGCTTGGACTATGGCTGCTTAAAGGAGGTAAAAAAAGACTGGAGATTAATTTCTCCTGAGCTGCCCCCAAGACATAGGCTCCTGGTTAACTCTTTCCCTGCTTGTAAGACTCCCTGTGTACCACCATGGGGAACAGGCCACTGCTTGAGCAGTAAGTAGGGATGGTCACACTAGGATCAGTGATTGAAGATGGGAGGCTGAATCTCCTGCAACACCTGAAAAAAAAAAAATCTCTCAACACAGCCACTTTTAAGACAGCATTTCTTTATTGCCTGTACTGTTTGCACACTAAGAAAACATACTTAAGGTTGTACATTGAAAGAACCTGCTGGTTCTTGCCATTGCAGTATGCCAGCACTGATAAAGGCAATACACAGAACTGGCCCATATTTGTGTGTCAGCTGTGTTTCACGCCTTTGTCTTGTGTGTGCTGTGTACAAAGCATGGGAGGCACACATTCAGAACACCTCAGCATGGATTCCCCTTCCCAAAAATCACTCCTTGCAAACACAAGTAGTTCCCCTGGAAGTACTGTAGGTCTTACTCCAGGCTCCACACCAGCTACCCTGGTTCCTTCAGGGCCTCTTGTAGCTTTACGATTCCCAGTCTCCGGAAGGCATTAGTGCAGTTAAACAGTGTTGAGCCACAGCCAGCCAACAGTAAGGACTGAACAGGATCTTACTACTTTTAGCTCTTCCTTTTACTCAGAAATCCTGCTCATCCAGAGAAAAATTTCCTCTTTCCTATCAGAAGGGCACCAGGAGGAACCATGGAAATTCTTTGTAATACTGATGTCTGTAGGGGTGACTCAGAGCACTTTTCCTGCCTGGGATATTCCCAGCAAAAATTGTGCAATAAATAGGCATTCAGAGCACCCACCTCATCCCAAGAGAGGAAAGACCATGGACAAGTACTGGCCCTTCCCTATACTGCAAGGTCTGCAGGCTGCATCACAGCTGCAGTATCACATCTTGTCCCTAAAATGTCAGAGTCACATACAGAAACAGCCTCAAAGAAAAAAGGGGAAAGGGCACTAACAAAAATCTCACTTAATCCCAAGGCTTTGAGAGCTGAGCTGCAAACCAGAAAGCATGGCACCTCAGATGCTCTATGCCCAGGCATTGTGGCAGCTTTGCCAACAGGAGCACTTCTGGAGACAGTTTCTATCTCTGCCCTGCTTCTCCTTGCCCTGCTTTGCCTGGACCCTTAGTGACAAGAAGGTCCCTTCCCAAGGAAAACAGATTCAGTCCAGCTCATTCTCAGGCCCTTCACCAGTAAAGTGAGGCTGGTGCTCCAAGTCCCGGCAAGAGAAAAAGGTACATTTCACAGGCAGCTGCTTCGTGCTTCCAGCCCAGGTGCTTTTGAATGCACTCTAGTGGGATCTTTCAGGACAGAGGGTAAGGCAGTTCCAAGTTGCTGGAGATTCTTCAGGAAAGGATAAGAGAATGGGAGGAAACAGGCAGCATTCAGCCTTAAAACAGGCTATATATGGCTCCCCTGGTTTGTACAGCACAACAGGCCCATCCTGCAAAGGACTATGAATCAGCAGCACATGCCAGCACCTGCAGGTCCCAGGGCAGCTGCTCTGTGTTCTGTAAACATTCACTTTAAGGACAGTGAAACGGTCCATAAGGGTGACAAAGCAATGAAAGCCATTGGGATTCATCCTATCAGTTCATACTATGATCACATATAGAATCTGTTAACTACAATATTGGCAAGTCCAACCAAATCCTGCAGTAAATCCAGGGCCCAATCCAGATCTTGCAGGAAGTGGTAGAAGTGTTCCCATCACAGCAGGCTCTCAGCTGAGCACTGCTGCTGCAGAACCAAGAGGAGATGCTTCTCTCTGAGACAGGTGGATCACTACTTAGAGATAGCTCAAATTTAAAATACCTTCTACCTCTCTTACACGGAAATTCTATTTAATACAGACCCACTGTGTCTTCTGGTCTCTGCTGCTAGGCCACTTCTTTGCCAGAACGAACAGGAACAAGACTTCATCCCTTTACAGGGAACAAACCTCTCCAGACAGAAGGCCCAGTCTATGCTACCAGCTAAGACTAGCCAAATTCTCCCAAAAAAGCCACGGCCTCTAGAGACCAGCCC